CAGAAGTAGTCGCGGAAATCTCAACTGTGAGCTTTCATGGTGGAGCTCGACGGATTGGTTGTTAGTTCGGTCGCGTTTGGAGGTCGTTTGGTTGAGCCGGGGTCGTGAGGGTGACGTGCGCGTATGTGTGTGAGTGTGACGTTGGGCATCCATGGTTGAGCTTTGAGGGGGAAGCCATGGATGACCTTGGAGAAACTTGAGGAAGAAGAAGAAGATAGGAGGGGGGGCGGATGACTTCTTAGTTTTTTTTAGGGTTTTTTCTTCTTTTTTCTTTTGTTTTGTGTTGTAAAATGTAAGAAAAAGGGGTTTGGGTCTTTTGGATTATGGACTGGGTCGACCCAGTTCGAAATGGACTGGGTCGTAGGGAAGATTGGGCCATTTTTTGGGCCGGTGGCTTGAAATCGAAGAAGAGGCCCAATTCCGACTTTCTTTATATTTTCGCTCTCTTTTCTTCTTTTATTTCTCTAAAACTAAATTATAAAAATACTTAAACTATTATTAAGAACTAAATTAAGTTATAAAAGCGCAAATTAACTCCCAATAACAATTAACGCACAATTAAGTATTAATTAAGCATAAAATTGTATATTTGGACATTAAATGCTAAAAATGCAAACGATGCCTATTTTTGTAATTTTTAATTTTTTGTAAACAAATTTAATTAGTAACAATTATAGAATTAAATCCTACATGCAAATGCGACATATTTTTGTATTTTTTTTATTAATTTAGCAAATAAACACGCACATACAAATACAAATAATTATTCAAAATATCACAAAATTGCATACCAAAGAAAAATCATTTTATTTTTGGATTTTTTGGGAGTAATTCTCATATTGGGCAAAAATCACGTGCTTACATTTATTATTGTTATTATTTTTTTATCAGAAACAGTGGTTTTATCCAAAACCATTTGCTCCTCTTCCAAAAGAGTATAGTTGTTTTTAATTTTGATGGTGGTATTTTCCATCGCTGGAGTTTTTGAGCTTGTTTCCTCGATGGACTCTTGAGTTTTAACCGTATTTTTGGACTTGTAATGCAAGATTTTGGCGTCTAAGTACTTACCAATTGTTGCATTGAACAGTTTTACTGGGATACCTTTTGTCATTTTCCACTGACTTTGGAGGATGGTCTTGATTGTTTTTTGGTTCAGGCCTCTTCTTTTTATTGAAGGAGACTGTCTTCCACCCCTCTATTTCTTCCTCCCCTTTCTTGACTTGTTGTTCCTTGTCTATTGATGCTTGATCCGTGGCTTGCATTTTTTTGTCCACTATTTCTTGTGTATGAAGTTACACTGAGTTTGGATGTGGCCCAGACGTCCACAGTTCTTGCATAAAAACTTTTCTCCTTTGCAATGTATATATTGCTTGTGTTGTCCAATGTAGATGTAGGGTTGGACGGGTGTTTCCAGTGGAAGTTCAACACAAAGCCTAGCATAGTGGCCTCTGACCGTGGTAGAGGTGCAAACATCAATTTTTAATAATCTTCCTATAGCATTCCCAATTTTTTCGAGGAGCTTTCCATCATAGAACTCGGTTGGCAATTGTGGAAGTCGGATCCAAACTACTGAGACTGTCAGCTTCTCTTTATTTGCTACAAAGTTTGGTCTCCATTTAGTAATTGACAAGTAGTGGCCGTTGATAAACCATGGGCCATGAGTGAAAGCCTTCTCCATATTCTCTCTCTTTGTAAACTTTATGATGTAGTAGTCGTCTCCTAGATCAATTAGTGAAAAAAATTTCGTTGGTCGCCACAGTTCTTGGATATTCTTTTTTAGGTAATGATGTAGCATTCTTTTGCCAAATAGCTTAACTATTAGTGAGAACTTCCAAGGTTCATAAATTCTTTGCTTCTCTTCTTCGGTTAGTGTAATTGCTTTAATTCCCCGTGTATTGAGCTCGATTAAATGCTCTTGCACTCCCTCTTCTGGTAGGATTTCTTCCATTGGGTTCTCGGATAGAGTTAGAGAATTTGTAAAGTTCATTGGGTTTGAGGCTAACAACATTTCCTTGAAGGACGCTTTGTCTTCCACGCCATTAACCATGGTATTTTCATGGGTGATGTCTGGTGGTTTAGGTGGTGCAGGAATGAGTTTTTCTCTATAAGAGTAATTGGAGTTCATCATGAGCTAAAAGCTTGTGACTGTTAATAAAGAGAAAGTGAGGTAAGTTAATCAACTTACTCTTCTTGAGGGATTTTCTCTAAAAGCATGTTTCGAGTTAATGCTTAAGTTGTTTGCAAATGTGCTTTCATGCTTGTGGGGACAAACAAGTGCGGATGTCTCCATGTACTAAAATATTATGTTGCATATATAATGTCATGTTGTTTTATAAAAATTTATTTTAAATCTTATTGGCAAAATGATTCTTAAGGTAAATGTTATAAGTTTTTATCAAAATTTACGTATTGATAATAGTATACATATCTGGGTGCTAAAGATAAGTTTCATGGAAAATATTTTTTTTGAAAATTGAGAAATAGAATAGACTTATGGTTTCTTTTTAAAGATTGATGTTAAATTGCCGAATGCTTTAGCATGTAAAAGATTGTTTATCTAATTTTTGTTCAAATGATTTAGATTTTCTATTAATGCTATGATTTGATAAAAATATATCCTTTGAGGCTACTGTGCTATGAATCTATTTTTTGAATGTCAAATATTTTGGGAGTTACTAGTGGAGAATACCGAGATTGGTTCGAATGTTGAGTTCGTTACCATGAAACTATATGTGCCGGTATAGAGACACATTCCAAGGCTAAGCCGAGTTTTGTGGGATAAGTCTCCCAAGTGGGGCAAATGTGCTATATTAGTATGGCTAAACTAATTCATGCAGCATTGCGATGAGACGAACTGAGCAAGTAGGATATATGATACTTGCCGCTGGGTTGATCACCTAGTTGACCTTGTTCTTATGTCGATGTCGATATAGTGCTCCGGTGAAAGATAAAGAATAATTTTCTTATATTTAGGTTAAAGGAGCAGAAAGTAATTTCAATGACTTAAAGCAAATAGAATGATTTCATATGATTTTATTCAAAAACTTAGATGGATATAAATATTTTAAAAGTTTATATCGTGGGTTATATTTCATTTGTCTTTTATTTGAAACTAGTTTCTGGACACGTGCATTACACGTGTGTCCTATATCAATTAGTATAATATTCTTTTTTAAAACCACAATAATATTATTTAAAAATATATTTGAGTTATAAAATAAAATTAAAGGAATTCACGTTCAAATTATTATATAGTTAACTCGGTAAAGAAGACATCATAATACTCCACAGAAAGATGCCATATTGAATTACTTCAAATATTATTGAAGTACACTAAGTAACTTTGTATTATATCCTAACGGTTTGTTAGGTGACATAGATTTATGAGTTTAACCCCGTGAAAAATATATTTAATTCAAAAACGATCTTTTTATAATTTAATCAACATAAAAGAGATAAAATTTTAATGTATATACATAAAAAAACTAAATTTTATATATATTAATTAACCACAAACTTAAATATTTTATTAGAGTTAGAGGTTAGGTGGACAATATTTTTCATAATATGATTTCTTTATGAAATGGATAAAAAAAATTCATAAAAAAAAAATTTCACTTTCATAAATATGTGTGTTTGTGTATGCTCACCTCATTTCCTTTCACTTCTTTATTTGATTCTTTCATGAAATTGTGAAAAAAAAAAAAAATCTTCTATTTAAACAAGAACTTCAAATGAAATGCAAGGCAACTAAAAACAAAAAGAAAAAGGAAGAATAAATAACATCTAAAGTTGTGTTTCTTGTTTGTTACCAAATGACTTTTAGTGGCCGTTGATTCTAAACTAAGCAATAACATATTGAGAAGACCGTCACTTCCCTTCTCTCAGCATGTTATTGATTCCAATTATCAACATATATATATTTCCCAACTCAAGAGTACTTCAATGTGCCTAGCTCCTTTGTAGGTAAAGACATCCCAGTTCCATATGGTATATTTTCACCTACATATCACCCGCCAAAACAAATTCAAATCAAGCACAAATTCTATTAGTTTTTGAATAATCAGTACAATTATACAATTATCCATCCAAAAGAGTACCAAAACTCTGTTCAATTAATATTACAATTCCAAAAGTTATATCCCTTCAAGGACATTCAAACATAAAAAAGAAGTTCAAAATCCACTACTATAAAATAATTAAACAATCGTTTATTGCCTGTGATAATCCAATGGCGACATTTTAATGTATGTGAACACTCAATAAGTAATTAACTATTGTTGATGGAAGTGGGTAAATTCTGAGAAATTATTTTTGTTTCCATCTCTTCTTGCAATTTAGTGATCCTACTTCAACCTTGCTCCTTCAAATGAGTGTCTGCAAAATACAGAAAAACATCTTTATTTCTCTTACTCTTCGTTTGTTAGTAATTTCACATAACCTCCAAAAAGAAACAGAAGAAGAATAAAGATAAGCAGCCAGCATACCATTGTTGTTTTTTCCTGAACACTGTAAGCTTCGGGTAAATGTTCTCAAATTAGTATATATCTCTCATATGCAAGCATAGTCAACAATTTATACAATGATGGGAAAGTTTCAATCTTTTTGAGAAATTAAGCAACAATTTGCGGAATAACAATTATCGAAATACAGGCTTATAAAATCATATATAGATAGAGAAAAAAAGTGAAAATTGCTAACCAAATATGCATCAACGTTGAGAATCAGAAGGGGCCACATCTATGTATAATGGTTCTCTGTGTGTTTTTTTATCATTCTTTTTTCCTACTTTGAGGTGGGGAAGTATATTTTTTGTAATTCGTTTCACTTTGTACACTGTATTTTATCATGCAACTTTCAATTGCTATAATTGCTATGAGAGAAATGGATGTGTAACTAAATCGATTTGAAAAGTGAGTTGGAATTCTTTATTATTCCATATGAACAGAAAACATAGGAATCTGATAAAAAGAAACGGTTGTCTATAATTAGGGGTTAATAATAGAAGCAAAACGGTTAGTAATTATTTAGTTGCACATTTCATATAGACGTCCTCTTGGAGACATTTAATTAAGCTTTTTATTTATACAATTGGATAGAAAAAAATGTGAAACAACCAAAAAATAGAAAATGTGCCTCTACCCCTTCGATTCCCTTGTACGTTGAAATGGAACTATTAATTGCTACATTAAAATTTATCTTAATGTGAATTCCAAAAACAAAAATAGTTAACGTCAAGTTACATTTTTGTATTTTTATTATGCAGAGTATTATTTAGTTTTCAAGGGCAAAATAGTTCATTAATTTTATGTGGGCATTTTGGTAATTCAAGTTTGACACTTTTAGCTTTCCACTTTTAGTATAAATATGATATGATATGATGATACATATCATTAATTGATGAAATTACTTACCGTTTTATATCAAATATTGGTGCATTATTTTTATAAAGTTTGTCCCAAACACTTAAGTTAGAGAGAGTCTATGACACTTATTGAGTATCATGCTAGTGTACTCAGCCTTTAGGGGGCCCTCTTTAGGGTCCCGCTTTCTTTACGTATTTCAGGATGAAGTGTGACATGTGATGTGTGGACATGCTAGGATGACTCGCTTTCCAAGGTATGATGAAGCACCATTTTATCTCGTGGTAACTATCATGTTATTTCTTATTTTGTTTTATTGGAATTACTCCAAGTGTTAATTCTATTCTTTGGTATATAGGCTCCATAGATAGTTGTGTTGGATTGTAAAAATAGGATCATGGACGTCATGCATAAAGGAATAATTATTTATTTTGATTATACCATTTTTATGAAAAGTTTCATTTATGATTTTGAAAATGAAAAATAATTTGTGATTTGATTTGAAAATGTACAAAATATTTGTCACGACCCGGAATCCACCCTCGGGACCGTGATGACGCCTAACATTTCACTTGCTAGGCAAGCCAATGTTAGCTAAATTTCTTTACCAGTTTTAATAATTCTAATCAAAATATCAACAACAATAACCGTAATAGTATGAAATAGAGTGATATAATACTGAATAATGCAATCTAAACATAACCCAGAATCTGGAGTCACGAATATATGAGCATCTAGAGTACTACAAATAAAGTCTGAACAAAATACAATTGTGTTGAAGCTAAATAAACAGTAATGATAGGATGTAAGGGACTTAAGGGTTGCGGACGCCATGCAGCTATACCTCAAGTCTCCACAAGTATGTGAGTCTGATCAATCTCACTACACACAACTGCGATCAACTCCGGTATCTGCATTAGAAGTGCATAAATATAGTATGAGTATACCCGATCCCATATACCCTGTAAGTGCTGAGCCTAACTTTAACAAAGTAGTGGCGAGGCTAAGGCATGTCACTCACAAATAACCTGTTCGAAATAATAATAACAGGAGAAAAAGAATAGAAGAAAGCAATAAACTCATGAAACATATCCGAAAATCAATTACCAATGAAATCAGAATAACAGAACCTCAAACCTCATATTACAATATCAAGAATAACCCTACAATCTCAAACCAGTACAATACCACATCTCAAATCTGTTACGACGCGCAACCCGATCCTACCATATCATCAACTGTTCATATCATAATCCAGCCTTATTCCTTCTTATCATTCCAATACTGTTCAATACCATTGCGACGTGCAAACCGATGCCCAAACAATTTCAAACGATTAACTCAAATAACTCAACAACAATACTTGCAAAGTATAAACACCGAGAGGTGAAATGTACCAACAATAAAGAACCACAGAATAAACAGAGAAAACCCAACATCTCAGAATCTCAAACAATGGGAACAGGTAAAACAGATGACAACTAAAGCAAATTGAAACAAGTAGCAAATAAGCAGAATTACACAGGAAGCAGACAAATCAAGACAAATAGCAGTTAAATAACAAGTAACAAATATTACATAGATGTCAAGTAAAAACATGTAAGAAAAGCATATAACACGACATAACATGGAACAAATGAAAATATGGAAGTAAATACTCCAACCCCGCATGCTAAATTCCGCGACGGCATATATACACTCGTCAGCTCACATGTACGCCATTTTCCACATAATACACATAACAAATAATTCAACGAGTCCTAAT